CTGAGGTGACATGTACCCAGTCAATATGGGGATAATTGAAATTCCCGTCAGAGACTCCTCCCCACAGCAGGGAAATTCTCTCAGGACCCTGATCAGGCCATAATGACAAACCCATTTCCTCGTTCCCACACACATCAGGGGCTTTTGGCTCCCAAGGATCCAGCTGCCCATGGCTGGGGTGAGGATCCATCAGCAGCCGAGCATCAGCTGGTCAGTGATCCACTGGCTCTGACTGGTCTAAGCAAACCCCAAACAAAGGAGGAGAAGCCCCGATCAGCCCCTCCTCCCTGCTGCAACCCTGACTGCTGAGCTGACGGGCCACAGGTCGGGGAAGGGAGAGAGAGAAACTCCTCCAGCCGCTCCCTCTGCCTGGCTGAAGTTCCCCCCTCTCCCTCCCCCTCCCAGCCAGGATCCCCCTGCCATGGAGATGAGGAGAAGGACACTTGGGCCAGGCCCCACCTTCACTCTAGACACCTGTACCCATCCCCCATCTTCCACCAGCCCCTGAGATGGGCTTCCTTACTGACTTGAGCTGTTCCCTTTTGGGCAAGTGTCCCTGGGGGCTGGTAACTCCTCCCCTCCCCAAATCCCGCAGGGTGCTGGGCTCTGGAGGAATCAAATGTTAAGGGACCAGGACTTTGGGTTCTGTTGATGTCTCTGGGGATTGAATGGCTGGGGCTGGTGGAGCTTGATATCAGGGGGAACTGGGTGCGGGGGTATCGAGTGTTTGGGGATCATAGGATAAGCGCATTCAGACAGCGCCACTGAGAGGGACTGATTCCCACAGACCGTTTGACACAGGCCTGGAAATCCCACCTCTGCCTCTGTAGAATCAGCCTCTGAAGTTCTGGCTATGCTAGGAGGTGTGGTTGGGATTAGCCAGCAGATCTCTGTGACCCTCCACCAGATTTCCTAGTGTAAACTCACTCTGAGCATCTGATGTGTTCTGACCAGTGTTCCCTCATTTTTTACATCCATGTGTGGAATGAATTTGTTTCTATGCACCAGTATGTGACACATCATCTCCATACTGGTGCACAGAACTTAATTCATGTGGTGGGGGTGGGGCCAAGGGGTTTGGAGTGTGGGAGGGGGCTCAGGGCTGGGACAGAGGGATGGGGTGCGGAGGGGTGAGGGCTCTGGCTAGGTGTGTGGGGTGGGGCTGGGGGTGAGGGCTTTGGGGTGCAGACTGCGGTGAGGAGAGGACTGCCCCCAGCCCTCTCTCACCACAGCAGCTTGGGGCCGGGTGAGAGGCACCTCTCCCCAGCCGTGGCAGCTCCTGTGGTCCTGGGCTGGAGCGAGGGAGGGGTTTCTCTCCCCAGCAGCTCCAGTGGACTTGGGCCAAGCCTGCAGAGGGGCTCCTCTCCCTGCCTGCCTTCACGGCCCTCGATAGCCAGCAGGTCACACCCTCCCCATGTCCCGCTGTGTCCTGCGTTGGGATGACAGAGAGTTTCTTTGCCCCAGTCGCCCCACACTGCATCCCTCTTGTGATAACCTCTGCACCCCATGTTCACCACTTGTGTATGGTTATGATATTTTGTGTGCAAAGTGTGCCTGGTGAGGGATCATTGGAAAACTCATGATCTGCTGAATATTGTGCCACTGAAATGCGTGTGACACCAGTGCATGTAGAATGGTGAGATTTTAATGTATGTTTCTTGCTAGGCTGACCATATTCCAGGTGCCCCAAAAGAGGACACTAATGGGGGGTGGGAGCTGACGGGGGGTGTAGAGTTAGGGGTGCTGGAGGGGGTGCGGTGGGGTACTCATGAGGTGAGGGCAGTGTTGGCTGCTGTCACAGTGGCAAGGCACTGGCAACAGCTGTCAGTCAGCGCCGACCTGCGGGACGCCTGGGAGTCTGGGCGTGGGTGGGTGGGATCTGGCACCAATCAATCAGCTATGGATGCAGGTCAATTGGCTAGTTGGGAAGGTGACTAATCAGGGATGTTTCTGAGCTTCAGCCCTTGTGCTCTGCAAACACCCCTGGACATTTGCTGTTATGGCAAAACCCGCTCAGCAGGCTCAAAGACGAGGATCTGTCCATAAAGACCCAGACATATATCAAAGTTTTTGTTACTGAAATATGTCATAGTTCTGGGGATTGTCCCACTCAAACTCCTCAGAGATGACAAAGGACCGACTGTGGGTATTAGAAAACTCTTATCTGGCTGTCCATCACCAACAGGAAGAAAGGGGGAAACAAAGAAATTTATAATTCACCTGAAGGATGCTTTGGAAGTTGTCTGACCCCATGACTGTTGGCCCCTTACTGAAACTTAGTGAGGGGTTTTTGCTTGGCTTCTCCCAGTACCAAAAGACAGGAAGGGCCAATGAGAAATGAAAACCCTCAGACTAGTCCCCAGGGCGAATGGAGAGAGGCCAAGGCACTAGGTCAACCTCGTTGACAGGACAGGCAGGCAGGCCAATGAGGGAGTCAGGTGCCCGTTCTCTGTGTGAGCTGGAGCTGCCTGCCAGAGAAGGGCAGAGCTAAGGGGAGAGGAGCAGCAGAAGCACTGATGCAGAGGGTTGCTGGGTCTGGAGCAGTCTGGAGCTGGGTGTGGTGAGCAGCTGGGGAGAGCGAGGGGGGACCCTGGGCAGCGTGGGATGACATCATGTTTTCCATTCCCCTTTCCCATTTTTTCCTTAATTTTTTTATTACTTGCTGTTTAATAAATCGTATTTGTTCTGAACTCAATGCAATTCTGAATGGCCACATCAGGGATGTGTCCGGAGGGAAGAGAGCACCCCAGAGTGGGGATACGACACCCTAGCCTCTCTCCTGAGTGATCACAACAAAATTGGGGATGAAAACCCCGCAGCAATCTTGGGGCCAGCCTCGTCGGGGTTTCAGACACCGGAGTGGAAGGGGAGTCCTGGAGGTCAGGCAGGTCTCCAGGTAAAGGGAGTGGGAGCGAGGACTCAGCTCCTTTTGCTATTCGATTCTATCAGGGTGGTGTATAAGCCAGAAAAGTTCCCCACAATAGTAAGACCGTTTCCCCTGCTTACCTCTGTGCATATTTATTGGTTTCTCGTAAAGTTAGTTAGGATTATAGGGGAAAGTGTCAGAGCGGCCACCAGGGAGAGTTGCTGGCCACACTCTGAGGCCACCAAATTTGGTCGTGAGAATCGCTGGGCTAGATGCTCATGATCGGCCCTTCTGACCTTAGAGCCTGTGAGTGTAACAGGAGCCAGACACAGAGATGCTGCAAAGCGGTGGGTTGATCGCTAGGACCCAGGAGCAGCTGGGAGGCGGCTCTGGGGGGAGCGATCGCGGGGCTCAGGCCCGGCAGCAGGAAGTGACTCGCAGCCGCTGCGGTGACTCTGGCTCCTGGCGAGATCCCCGAGCCCCGGCGGCTGGTGCTGGGACCCCGGAGCCCTGGCTGCAGCCGGGAGAGGGGAATCTCCAGCAGGGCCCTTCCCGCTGCTCCCCAGGAGCCTCTCCCAGGGCAGAGCCCCCAGCCTGGCCAGGCCCCTTCCCGGCCCTGCCCCTGCCCCAGGGGGGCCCCGCTCGGAGGGAAGGTAAGAGAAACCCGCCCCCACCCCGTCACACCCGGGCTGCAGGGGGAGGCGGATAAAGAGGTGCAGGGGGTGAGGGCAGGCGGGGGGAGCGGGGTGGGGGCAGGAGGCGGGTGCTGGGGATGCGGGGGGCAGGCTGGGATGGGGGCGGGGGTGCACTGAAGGGAAGATGGGGCGATGCAGGGGATCGGGGGGGATTGTGGGGCTGAGGGGAGCGAGGCTGGAATGGGGGAAGATGTGAGTGGGGGCACTGCGAGGGAAGGGGGGGGTGGGGAGACTGGCGGGGGACAGAGGCAAAAACCCAGCCCCCCACACCCACACCCTGCTCCCAGCGTGTTGTTATTGTCAGACACACCCGTGCTGGTGGGGTCTGTGTCTCATGAGTTTTGGGGTCGCCCAGGCCCTGGTCTGATGTCTGGGCAGGATTCACATCTCAGCCACACCGGAGTCACTGCTGCTTTGGGCAGGCAGGGAGTGTGGATGGGCCAATGGGATCAGCCTCTGCCTGCCTGTCCCTGGGGGCTGCTGCAGGAGTCCAGGGCAGCTCGTTCTTTAGGTGATGCCATCAGAGGGCTCCTGCTGCTCCTAAGGGAGAGGAGTTTACACGGCAGTGTGGGGAAATCCCCCAAAGTGGCCCCTTTAGTTCTGCTTTTTTTCTAGCATTTGGCTCAGAGATGCAGTTACTGGGAGGGTCTGAAGAGGCTGGGGGGGAACCGGGGTGTGACATGGACTCCAGCCCCTTCTGTAACCTCCCCCATCGCCCCTCTCGCCCCGACAGGCTGAGGAATCATATCCACATTTCGCTCCAGATGGGCCCATCTTCCAGGATGCCGGGAAGGGAAATGTCTGTGATGGAGCCAGCTCAGGTAGGGGATTTTCAGGGAGCTCCTGGGCAGGGGCAGGGAGCAGACAAGGTGTGATAAACCTGCTGATTTTCTGAGTGGGCCCATTGGTGACGGGGGAGGGGAGATGGGACATTCCCCCATTTCTCAAAAAGGATACAACCCCCTTGCACAGGGCTGGGAACATTTTCAAGGCTCCCAATGCTGGAGTGAGACCCCACTAGCCTGAGGCTGCTGTGAAATATGAAGGGAAGTGTTGCGATTCCTGTCCCTGTCTCTGGCTCAGAGCTCTGCTTCCCGTATCAGCCTATGTCTGGCAGGCATGTGGGAAATGAGAAGACCCTGCCCTGCTCCGTGTGCTGGGAAGGACAAGGAGCTCTCACCTTCTCCCCACCCCCTGAAGCCTCCTGGCTGCTCTGAGCTGGATGGGGGTGGGATTCTGCTACTCTGGCGCTCCCAGAGCTTCCATTTCTTCATCCTTCCTCCCGCGTGACTAGTCGGATTGTGGCTGGAGCAGCAGGTAATGAATGGGGGCTTTTGGTGTTCCAGATGCCGGTGACCTTCGAGGAGGTGGCTGTGTATTTCACCCAGGGGCAGGGGGCTCTGCTGGACCCCACTCAGAGAGCCCTCTACAGGGATGTCATGCAGGAGAACTATGAGATGGTGACCTCGCTGGGTAAGAGATTCCCGTTCCCTCAGATACTAGAAGCCGTGGGGTCTGTGTGTCTGAATCTGGTCAGGTTCTTCCCATGTCAGTTAGATCAGAGGTGAGTGGGTTCCATAATGCACAGCTGCCGTGTGAGAGAGACTTGCATCTCTGTGCCCTTTCCAGTGGGACATGGGTGTCAAAACCCAATGGACAAGCTAAACCATCCCCACCCCTCCAGCTTTCAAAGGAGCATAAATCCAGCATTGTCCTGTCTGTGTTGTTTCTCGGCTGCACACACAATCCCTGTTCACCTCCCTCCTTGGGAATAGCTCCAGCCATGGGGAGGGCTCTGGGCTCTGCAGGTTTAGAAAGAGGCAGAGGTTTAAGTGCAGAGCTGTGTGTGAGTCAGCAAGGCCCCCAGAACGCACAGATCCTGGGAACGCCTAGTGAGGGTGTAGTAATAATTCAACTCATCTCCCCAGACAACTTCCTCTGCGCGAGGGGGCTCAGTGACCATTTCCCCATCTTCTTGGATTCCACGTTCCTCCAGCAGAGCACAGCGACTGGTTCCACTCACGGAATGTCCTTTCTGACAAATACTCCACCCTGATCTGGTCTGATTTCACCCTCTGCGCAGGATTTCCCATTCCCAAACCTGAGCTGATCGCCCGGCTGGAACGAGGGGAGGAGCCATGGGTGCCCGATCTCCAGGCCTGCAAAGAAAGAAGGCTTCCGAGATGCACCCGCACAGGTGAGGACTGACACAGAAACCATCTAGGAAATGAAGGAAAAAGTTGAGAATCCCAAAATATGGTAAAAAGAAGAGGAGTACTTGTGGCACCTTAGAGACTAACAAATTTATTTCAGCATAAGCTTTCGTGGGCTACAGCTCACTTCTTCAGATGCATAGAGTGGAACACACAGACAGAAGTTATTTATACATACAGAGAACATGAAAAGGTGGAAGTACGCATACCAATTGTAAGAGGCCAATCAATTGAGATGAGCTATCCGTAGCAGCAGAAGAAAAAACTTTGAAGTGATAATCGAGATGACCCATAGAAGGTGTGAGGAGAACTTAACATGGGGGGGAAAAAATTCAATTAGTGTAATGACCCAACCATTCCTAGTCTCTGTTTAGGCCTAAATTAATTGTCTAATTTGCATATTAATTCGAGTTCAGCAGTCTCTCTTTGGAGTCTGTTTTTGAAGTTTTTTTGTTGCAAAACTGACACCTTCAAGTCTGTCACTGAGTGATTAGAGAGGTTGAAGTGTTCTCCCACTGGTTTTTGAATGTTACGATTCCTGATGTCAGATTTGTGTCCATTTATTCTTTTGCGTAGAGACTGTCCGGTTTGGCCAATGTACATGGCAGAGGGGCATTGCTGGCTCATGATGGCATATATCACATTGGTAGATGTGCAGGTGAACGAGCCCCTGATGGTGTGGCTGACGTGGTTAGGTCCTATGATGGCGTCACTTGAATAGATATGTGGACAGAGCTGGCATCAGGCTTTGTTGCAAGGATAGGTTCCTGGGTTAGTGTTTTTGTTGTATGGTGTGTGGTTGCTGGTGAGTATTTGCTTTAGATTGGGGGGTTGTCTGTAAGCGAGGACAGGTCTGTCTCCCAAGATCTGTGAGAGTAAAGGATCATCTTTCAGGATAGGTTGTAGATGTTCGATGATGCGCTGGAGAGGTTTCAGTTGGGGGCTGAAGGTGGCGGCTAGTGGCGTTCTGTTATTTTCTTTGTTGGGCCTGTCCTGTAGTAGGTGGCTTCTGGGTACTCTTCTGGCTCTGTCACTCTGTTTTTTCACTTCAGCAGGTGGGTATTGTAGTTTTAAGAATACTTTGTAACCAAAATATGGTGTGAGTAAGCACCCCAGTTCTTCCTCATCTCAGCCAGGACAGGGCTGCAGTCATCAGATATAGCTCATGCCATTCCACCCAGCCTCTTAGCAGCAGGAGTTTGCTTCCCAGCTTTCCTTCCCTGTGAGCGTTTGGGTGGGATGTGGAGGCGGAGTCCAATTGCTCAGTCTTTGTGTTGGGTTTTCCCTCGGTGCTATTCCTCTTTCTCCCCAGCACAATGACTCCTGTCTGGATTGTGTCTCTCCCAGCAGGTGCTGAGCAAGGGAGGGAGAATGAGGAGGGGAATCATCATGAGGAAGTTCCCGGGGAAGTGGAACCGCAGGGGACCTTTGTAGGAAGAGATGAAGGAAATTTTTCCCAGTGCTTGGAGCAGGCAGAAACCTGGGGAAGTCGGCACAGGTCAGAGAGGCTTCTGGGAAACCACCCAGGGAAGAAAGTGGATGAATCTATTAACGGTGGGGGAGGAGAGGAGGATCCCAGAGCGCCGCAGACAAATCCCAAGCAAGAGACACCGTGGCACTACCTTCAGTGTGGGAAAGGATTCATTTTGAGATCACAGTTTGTGACACATCAGACAATCCATACTGGAGAGAAACCCCTTCAATGCTTGGACCATGGGGAAAGCTTCAATAAGCTCTCAGATCTTAATAACCATGGGACAAGCCACACTGGAGAGAAACCCGCTCAATCCCTCGAGTGCGGGAAATGTTTCATTTCGAAGACACAAATAATTAGATATCAGTTAAACCACACAGGGGAGAGACCCCATAAGTGCTTGGACTGTGGGAAAAGTTTCATACAGAGGTCACACCTAGTTC